AAAAAAAACTCTAAGCGATTCTTAGCTTAAGAGTAAATTTGTCAATTGACTAACCCTTAATCGTCTTTCCTTGGGTGACGCCTGCTGCAGTAGTCGTTGCTCGACTCCTCAAATTGCCTTGATGGCTACCTAGTCACCTCCTCATCCTTAAATATTCTCGAGTCTATCCATTACCCTTAGTATTCTTTTCAAATTTCAAATTTTGAAATTTAGATTAGGATGTGAAGCGTCCTTCTCTCTCCACCTCTTCGTATTTTGTGCCTTATCTCAGTCGTTGCATTTACTTTAATCTGAGGGCTAGGGTTAAGCAGCTCTTCCTATAAATATGCTACTTCCTCCTTTCTTCCCACTTTTTCGTATTCAAGTTCTCGAGATTTTTAATCTTTTTAAGTTGTAGAGCACTCAACTTCCCGGCGTACACAACTTTTCGGCGACTCCTTCGGATTCCTCAGAACTTCAGCAAGTCAATATGTGTAAGTCCTACTAACCTCATCCTTCTGGAATTTTGTCTGTGTTTTCTAAGTTTTGGTTTGGGATTTATGGGTGTCCTTCATGTTCTTGAGAATCTTCAAATGATTCTTTGAGCAATTAGTGTTAGATCTTCATTACTTGATCCAAACACCATCAAGATGTTTACTTATATGTATACTTAGGGTACTGTGTTAGTTCGTCATCTTCGTAGATTGACTCATGTCGAGTTGCGAGCCCTTTGGGTCGATGGCTCGACCTCGAGCAGTCGACTTAGGTTCGAGACCTTCGTTGCCCGCCTTCTTTTACGTTCAGTTGAACCGAGTTAGATCCGTCCATCTTTATTTTGCCTATTTGCACTTTTCTCGCGATCGACTTATGGTTGTGACCATCCTTATATCGACACTTCTATATTTTCTAGCCCCTAGTGTCTAGTTTTCGTTTCGTTGTGCTGATCATCATTGTTTTCAACTTCTCTCTAGACTTCGACTCCAACTCTATTTTCGATTCTATTGTCCGTCAGATCGATGAGTATTCAGACTCCGACTTTGTCCAAATAATTGGCTTTAAGTCAGCGATCGAGAAAGAGAACACCTCGCCTTCATCTGCTTCCTCTTTCGGGATCGACTGGGATGAATATAACCAAGCCTTGCTGTCGGGTACCTCAAACGTAAATCCTAGCTCTTCTCGAGCTAAATCTCCTCGACTTGACCTCTTTCCTCGAGGTATTCCACTTAGGTTTTTAGATATACGTGTGTATAGAACCAGTCCCGTTCCTTCTCTAATAATCGCTCCTTATGTCGAGCCTAAAAATGTTGTAACATTAGCCTGTCCGTTGGCCAAATTAGCAGTACTTAACCCTTTTTGTTATGCCTCTGCAGCCGAGGTCTAGAGATTTAGGAAGTTCAGTGGGCTTCCTTCTGATTGGGAGGTGGTCGCCCCTGGCCCTAAAGACGACTTTGCTCATCCTCCCCAGGACTGCTACAGCTTCTTTGACGACCAGATAATGTTCGGGTTGCGCTTCCCTATCCAGCCCGAACTTTTAACCCTTAGTAACTTGTATAATGTGCCAATAAACCAATTTTCTCCTAACGCTATCCGCATTATGGTAGCCTTTGTCATTATTTCCAAAATAAAGTTGGGTGTTTTTCTGCCCGAGCTTCTCCTTTACTACTACAGTTATCGTTTCATAAAGGACGCCCATTGCTTAGGTCGTCGTTGTGGTGTTTCTTTTCTAGAGGATCTTCCTCGAATGTCACGGAATGGAAAACCAATTACTTTTATGTCCGTCCCGATTCTGGTCGATACCCTTTTACCAATGTCTGGATAACCGAAAAGGTCAAGCAACGCCAACGGCCCCGATCTCCATAGTTCGAGTCCATGCTCGTCGATCTTAATAAGCACACATGGTGTAATGCCCCACTTTTATTTGACGAAAGTCAAGGACTTTACAAAAAGTCAACTTAAAATTTTTCGAAATTTTTTCATAAATCAAGGGCACTACTCAAACTAAATCACATATATAACATAAATCATACTTGCATAAATCATAAATCATAAATCCGAAGTTTCCATAAACCCCAAATTCATCCAAATTATTCATAAGGGAACATCTCCTAATCCAAGTTCCAAAGATCCCAAAGTCATAAATCATTAATGCCCAAAGTCGTAAATGCATAAATAAACATAAATAGTATAGCATGTAGAATAAACTAAATGAGGTCAGTCAAAGACCAACACCACTCGTCTTTTGTCTCGTCAGCCAACATCTGCTTAACTTGCATCCATGAAGAGCAGGTGGGGGTGAGCACGATGAACCGTAGTGCTCACCATTATGCACATGAACAATAATAAAGTACGTGAAATTAAATGGCATGGTCGCAGTATGCACAAAATCAATATTATCCCATCTCCTAACCAAAGTAATTCTCATGTGCACACCTATAACAATAGACTGCTGCTCGTATGCCTTTCGGCGAACATAAATGGGGTGCCCAAACAGCAGGAGGCTCAACCGTCACAGCATGCACCTAGTGCTTGGACGGGATATCCATCACCGGTAAAGGCACATTGCCAAGGTCTTACATATGACGTGGTCCTTAGCAAAGGATAAACGTGGAGATTACCCTTGCGGGGTACGTTCTATAGCTACGAGGATAACCGTTCGACGGCCGAAAATAGCTCACATCGAAGGTTACATGCTCACATGCATACGTTGATCATACTCAAATAAATAAAGCAATTATCATGTAAGACATAGACAATTTCGAATAACCCACCTGGATATCGAGATATAGCCAAACACAGGGTTGAAGGAATTTTGGCAAAAGTTCAGCAACTTAGCAAGTAATATAACACAATAACAAAAATCGTGAAATCAAGCGAGCCGAGGTTCGAGACGAGGTTTGAGCCAAGGTACCATTCTCGGGAAAACGCTCGAACGAAAGAATCGAAACGAGGCTGAAATGCTTCACGAAACGGGGCTCGACGGCTAAGCTTCGGCTTGCTCTAGAGCTGCGAGGGTGATCAACGGAGGCCAGCCAGCAATAAACGGGCCCAACGATGACGCACAACAAGGGAAAACGCACGAATAGCGGGGCTCGGGACAGAATTATTCGAACAGTGGGACTCGCCGGGAGTAGCAGGGTTGTCGACGGAGGCGCACGGCGGTCCAATAGGACACTATCGTGTATGATGATGCTGTAAGACTCGCCGGAACTGATCGCTGAATGCCGAAAAATCTGCTCGTGGGGCTCGTGAAAGGGAGCAGCGAATAAGGACCGAGACCTGGGTGATGACGAGCCTCTGGAACAAGCAGCGGTGAAGGCCTTCAAGCAAGGACTCGCGGCGGCGAGAAGCCAAGACGCGACGGCACTGGTCTTGGGAGAGGAAGGCATCGATCACGCCTGGGAACTGAGCAGCGGACAGCTTCTCGTCGGAACTAGTTCACCACGGAAATTGGGCTGCTTCTCGCGATGGTGAGGGCGACGGGATGATGATGATATGAGGATGATGGTGGTGCACGATAATGGAGGGAGAGAAATAAGCTTCTTCTTTTCTGCTGTGGGAGCCGAGAGATTGAGGAACAGAAAAGTTGCGGGCGTGTTGTTTAGTTGAGGGTAATCTCACATATATATAACATGTAGGGTTTTTCCTTAACTTGCCAAACAAGAGGGAAGGAAACCGGGTCTTGGGCGGGCACGGGGTTCAATTGGTTCAGGCTGGAAACTCGGTTCAACAATAATAAATAATCGAGGCCCGACACAAACGTGCGATAACTAAAATAAAAACCGGATAAATATATTTGTATAATACAAATTATAATATTTATTAATAACAAACATAATAATCACATGATAGCAT